CCCCCCCCCCTTTCTCTCTCACTCTCTCAGCTCGTCCCCCTTTGATCGCTGGCCCGGCCCGGGCGCCCAGCAAGAGAGCAGGCTGAGTGGGCGAGAGAGCAGGATGACTCAACACCCCGCCCGGCCCGCCGCCGATCAAGACGGCCCACTCGGACCACGACACACACACTCGACTGCTTCAGTCCTTTCAAGACACGGCAAAGTACGACGAGTGTTCGCAAGGCATCAGTGACTCTGCTCTCGTTGTTATTTCCGCATAGCCGAACGTACCTAGCCATACATTCTCTATACTATATGTACCTTATATATAGTATAGTATATTTATAAAGATACTTATACAGGGTGGTCCACAGACCCCTTCCTTTATTTTGCTTATACTGTAACGCATGCAGGCTTGCGGGCGGGCTTGCCTACCCTAGCTCGCCGTTGCGCCTTATGGCCCCGTGCAGGTTTGCAACACGGCTGCACGCCTGCATCCGGTACAGTATAAGTAAAATAAAGGGAGGGGTCTATGGACCACCCTGTAGATATACTTTAGGCGCACCACCCTTTTTTCAATTTATGACCCAGGCAATATTTCCGTCATTAAATGGCAATTTTATTTTTATTGCACCCTTGGTCTTGGCGTGAGGAGAGATCGATGATCGGTCATCGCACTATAGCGATTTGCTCCACCCCCGGTACGCCCCGCCACGCTCCGTGATGCACGGCACGACGGGAGCACGCTCTGCATGACTGGGCTTCCAATCTCGCTCCGCGCCGCCGCGCCACGCCGTGACTGTGCACAAGCCAATCCAACCGCGGCCCCGCGCACCAGCTCCGCAGCCACCCCGCCAGGGCCTCGCCAGGGCCCCGCGAGGAGCAAGAGACCCGCCGCCACGCGCTCTGGCCGTAGGGCTCTCACTTTTACCCGCCCGCCCGGGTAGGGACCGGGTAAACGGGTCTCACCAGTCTCACCAGAAGGCCCGGTGGAACCGCGCCCGTAGGCAACTTTACAAACCGGGTCTACCTGGGTACCCGGGTCAACCGGGTAACCCGCTTCTACCCGGTAAGACCCGTTTACCTGGTTCCTACCCGGGTTACCCGGGTTACCCGGGTACCCATGGGCCCGGGTCATGAGAGCTCCATCTAGCGACCGCCGCAAGAGTGACACCGGGCCTAGTGGGAGGGGCTCGCTGCTCGCTGGTCCCTCACCAGGTGGTTCACCGGCGGATCGAGACAAAGGGACGAGCTGGGGTAATTTCGTGGCCAAGTTTTTGGAGGGGCCGGGTCGGGCCAGGCCCCCGCCGGAGGCTGCCCCGCCAGCCAGGCCTGCATGTGGCGCTATGGGCCCCGGGCCAAAGGCTCGCTAACTGAATTCCAACTTGGGGCTTTCCTGTCAACTGCTCCACCGCGGCCCACCGCGTGCCGCTCGTTGAGTGCGAAGGGCAGCAGCCCGACGGCAGCCCCTCTCCCTCCTTTCCTTAGCATTCCGACAAACGAGACGAAAGGCAATAAACAACTGCTGATCAGCTTCCGGCGGAAAGGTATTCCCTGCAGAGAGTGACTGGATAGAGACACCGTGCGCCCGCTGTCGCGTGAGAGACGGGTGACCGGAAATGATCAACTCCTCGCGACTTTCTCGGGAGCGCAGAGACAGCAGACATGTCGTTCTTCTTTTGTTTCTTTTCCCGTATCAAAACATGATTTTGTTTTATCGCAAAAATTAACCGAGTACATAAGGCAAGGTATCGGGGCTGGAAATCGTGTTTAACGCCATTGCTCAGCTTGCGATCCACTGTTAAAAGCTTAAGTTGAGGTACTGTACACCAGTGAAAAGTCACCATTATCTTTTACACCCCAAAAAAGAGCGCGGGCCTGAGCCAAGTCCATGGACTGGATCCTCTCAAGCCCCTCGGACCCAACTCAAGAACCGCCTTTCTTGGGTGTATGAGTGCACCACTAAGAAAATATTTGAAATTTCTAAAGTTGTTTTTCTTACCTTGTAAAAGCAGCAGTACGGCCAGCCACGTGAGGCCCGCCGCCTCCATCCTGATCCTGCTGCCGGCCTGACGGGCGCCTCCTCTGCTCACGTCACGGGTGGCATCCTGGGGGGCGTATCCTCGCTTGGCACTCGCTCACACACACACACACACACACACACGCACGAACACAGGTGCACGAACGCACACTCACTGGTCTTCGTTCACAATGCACAAAAGCCGCTGCACTTTTCTGCTCCGCTAACGGGGGCACTGCGGTTGATGGGGGGTTGTGGTGGTTGTTATAGAGAGGAACAGAGAGGGAAGCGGAGGTGGAACAAAGAGAGCAGGAGAGAGGAAGAGAGAGAGAGAGAGAGAGAGAAGGGGTGCGGCAGCACGCGAGTTGGAGGGAGACAGTGGTAGTCCTTGATGAGTTACGAGGGTCCTATGTAAAGCAGTCGTCGTTGCAGTCCCCGCGCAGTACCCATGGCTGCAGCAGCGAGCGCAGCGGAGTCGGCAGGACACGTCAACGAGCACGGCCGGGGGCGGCACGGGGGCGGGCAGGCGAGCGCCACGCGACGGCGCACGCGGGCCGGGGTCTGCCCGAGGGGCGGGCGATCTCTCGCACGGGACGACGCACGGCGGCTCTCGCCGGCTCCGGGTGGCGGTCGGCGTCGCGCGCGCGAGGGAGGTCTGGTCGGCTCGGGGGCGGTGAGCGCACTGAGCGGGGCGGCGGGAGCGCGCGGTGGGGCGGCGGCGCCCGGACCGCCCCCTCCCCC